TGATGGCATTCCACTTCACAATTTTTGTTTTTACTTTTACAGCTTCATAAATTCAGTATCTTTCTAGAGATAGTGATGTTTGAGTGTTAAAAAAATACAACAATGATTTATTGATGGGTTGTCTGAGCATATAACATGAACAACCGTCCTTTAAATGATTGTTATAAATAATTGTAACATGGATATGTTATGAGTGGGGCACTTTAAACTCGTCTCTGCTTTCTTTTACAATAACCAGCATCAATGGGTAAACCGGTCACAAGCTTATAAGTACACTGAGCCATTCGTACAACCCATCCCCTCCATCCACCCCCATGCACCCAGGTAGTGTGTTCATGATAATAATATAATATAAATAAATATACAATAAAAGCAAAAAAATAAAAGGAGTGACAGAAATATAAATGACTGTAAATTTAGCAATAATGAGTCCATAGTTTATGATTTACTTTAGTCCTCAGATAAAGTGTCCATGTCTATTACTCATCAACTCTAGAGAAGTTTTCCAAGGAAGAAAATAATGTTGACCAAAGGTCTTGAAAGATAAATCCACAGTCATTTATCTCCAAAGTTAAACCCTGTAATGACAAAAACTCTGATACTTGATCCAAAAACATCTTAAAAGTTGAAATTCATTTTTCCAAATCTCTTTGCAAAATATTATAATCAATATTCTGCATTCTTTCTCATCTAAATGAAGATCAGTCATTATATTTCATAACGATAGACAGAGGTTGAAGTCAAATTCTATGTCAAAAACTGAATTGGTAAAAGAATTAACGGTCGCTTTGCCAACATAGATGCATCAATGTTCCTTCTATAGTTTTACATCATCCACCTTGACAGGTTGGTAAATTATATTTGGAAATGTTTCACATCTTTATAGGAGCATGATAGAATTCATGGAAGGACGAATAAAATAGTAATGGAGAACCTGATATATCTATGACAACCGGTGTTGTCTTATTGTTTCCAGTTATGTAACAAAGACAAAATCATTATATTGGAACGAGACGGACGACTTGTGTCTTATTTAAAAATGTTAAGCTAATGTTAAAAATATAAAGGTATTCTGTAACACTAATTAAAAATATGGTAGTATTAATAAATTGTACTATTCAGTTCTTTGAGAACAAAGTCATTGGCTAATTTTACTCCAAAAAATCGAGAGGCAAGAGGAGCTCAGAAGCTTAGGAAAAGTGATAAATTATGGGAAACCTTTCTAGAATGGCTAAATAATGTTGAACAATGTGATGATGTAGATTTGTCCTCAGTCAAATATGTTGTAATATAATTCATACTGATATAAGTGTCCCTTTATTTGGTTTGACAAATAAAGGGACAGATTTCTCAGACTTACAATTTGCTTTGTGCTTTTAAATCAGTGCCTCTCCAACAGTCTCAACATACAAGCATAACATAGCTTTGAGAGAGAGCAAACAAATTCAGACTTGCAGAACCGACGCAGCAGTTTTCAGCTAAGACATGAGAGCAGCTATTGATTCTCTGGGAAATCTAAGTGAGTCGTGGTAACAAGAAGAAAGGAAGCACTTGGTACGAAGCCCTGCACTTACTCCAATTCAATTAGACCTGCCTGAGCTCAGCACTTCAGCTCTGCTGCAGTTTAATGTTGCCTGGAAAATAGGATATTGCTAATGTTGTTAGCCAGCAGCCGCTAACTCCCGGAGGCTGGTGCAATCATTCATGACTCTTCCTTACTGTTTCCACTTAGTATACTATATTTCCGGTCAGTGTTGGTGCAAGAGTTTGTTGAGACTGTAAGGACAATAAAAGCTGATATAAAAATCATTATCAACGTATTTTTCACCATGTCATGATACATGATGAGGTAGAAGACCTAGACCTTGACTCTCGGCTGCAAAAAGAATGAAAGATCAAACTATGGATTTTAACAGGATCATGCAGATTAAGAACATTTCAGCGGGTTAATATACAGTACATTCAATTTCAGGTTATAATTCTGTCACTTATTACACAAACACAACTTTTAGGTTGCATATAAACCAAACACTATCGGTATGAATTGATACACAGTAACATACATTTTGGTTTGTAACCAGTGCATCATTTTAACTTGTGTCATACAAGAGGTTTGGTCATAGCCCTGCCGACAATCCATGGCCTGATGAAATGCTTGTCTACTTCCTGCTGTCTCTCTCCTCTGTGGCTTATAAGCCGTTTTCAATCGTGAACTCCAGAGGATGTCCACAGAATTGGGTCTGGACTTTCTCCGGAGGTTGCCTTTCACACATAAACAATGTAGCGGAGAATTTTTCCTGCTCACACACAAAACAATACAGAAATCTCTGGAGTGTTCAGGTCAGGGGTGGAGCAACAGGCAGAGGCAGGATGTATTGTATTAATTCCACTGTGTGTTTGTTGACATCTTTGTCGACACCATGTTTGGCACCGCTTTTTCATCCAGAAATATTTGTATTCCTTTTTTGGGGTGTGCTAGAAAAGCTAGACATTTGCGTTCACACATACAGCCTCTCAGGAGAATGCCCTGAGGTACTCCGGGGTTCAGTGCATGTCTGAAAGCAGCTTTAGTAAAAGGGAACATGAGATGAACATGTCCAGGAGTGCAGCAGCAGAGCGACAGTTAAAGAAGTCAGACAGGTTTTTCAGAGATGACATAAACAGAGAGATGAGTGAATTACCTGAGGCTGTAAACCGACATCCTGAAGCTTCTACAGTAAATATGATCCACGTGACGCTAATTATCAAGTTTATTTCAGTGTATGTTATGTTCACTGCATGGTAACAATAATAATAATAATATAAATAAAATGTTGGTTTTTTTTGTATAGCGCCTTTCAGGAAACTCAAACACGCTTTCTGTAGAAATTAAAAGAAAGACACAATAAAGATAAAAACATCAAAAAACGGAACCTGGTTGTGGAGGGCTTTATGGGTGAGGATTTTGAATTGAATGCACTGAGGGACAGGTGGAAAAAGTTACAATGGAGTGAGTTGTGGCAGTGATTGATTTGGTGGATATGGATACAGCAGTGGAAATGGAGACCATGACGTGGCACGATATTTCCGAGGGGGAGGATGTGGAGGATGAACGGGAGAGGGCCAAGCCGGAACTCTGTCTGCTCTGAAAGTGTTGGTTAATGCTGTGTTGATAATGGAACAATATCCATCAACAAATTAAAAAAAGTACCTTTATGACTGAATGGAAAGGAACCTCATAGTTTTCTTTGGTGAAAACAAGTCAACAAGAGATTTATAATAACGTTAAAGCTGTTGTTGGTTAGAAGAAGGTGTCGAGCAGCAGCTTGTGTTTCACTGCAGTATAATAACCTTGATTGATGTTGACCCTCCTGATACATCTACTTGTCTGATGCCCTTCTCTCTCTTCCTCTCTCTCTCTCCCCCTCTCTTTAGGTATCGACTATAAAACCACCACCATTCTCCTGGACGGGAGAAGAGTGAAGCTGGAGCTCTGGTAAGGAAACATCACCCCTGATCAAATAACCCGTCACTCGACTGTTAGTGTTATTACAATTGTGCCGTGATTTTCAAAATAATACAGAAATCAGACTCCAACAGTAAGTCTATGACAGTGGTCGGTGCTCTCCAAACTGATTTGACATTCATTCAGTTTAGACTTTGTGCATCACATTACAGCACGTGTCCGATAAACTCTAGAGAGAATCAAACTAGCACAAAGTAAACATCAGTCCTGTATGTGTCTTCATAACTTGTGACTTGTTAAAGTATAAAGTGAGCGCAGAGGAGGAGGAAACAGACTCCAACAGAGACTCCCACACAGGACCAGATCTTTAATGAGCGTCTGTCCTGATCCTGAAGCAACAGTGTATGGTCATAATTATGCATTGCTAAAACAATGAGAGTTTCAACGATGCAGAGTCTTCAGAGTCCGCATCGCAATGCATCTGAGAACCAAAAGATTTCCACACCTCTCATACTTGACTTTGACTGGTTTGAAGAAGAGCGTGTGCCTGATGTTGGCGGTTTGTCAGTCGGTCAGGCAGTAGCCTTCCTGTTTCAATAGAGAAACTGAATGAACAGTTTCATTTGGTTGCCACTGTAATATCATAAGTTTTTTTTCTAGCAGCATCATGAACTTCATGTGCAGCATTTCACACTAGTTGAAATAAGCGCCCTTATCATGCAATCATTTTACCATTATTATGCCCTTTCACACCTTTGTATTTTTCTTCAGCCTAAACTGAAAAGTCTGAAGGTGCGAACTAAACAAGTTGCATTTTGTGGTTCCAAACTACTAAGCACAGTTTCACTGTATCATCCACACTTTCCACATAATTGCATAATTGTGGTTGCTGACAAATGTGTGTTGAAATCTGCACACAAACACAGAGCAATTTGAACATGTATAAAACTATTTAAGATATACACACATCACAATCCTGAATTAATGTAGAGATGATGAATTATATTTTACATTCTCACACTGAATGTAAAAAGCTGCATTTTAAAGCACATTTGATCCGTTAAACATAAAAACGTATTCTGACCACAGTGATTACTTAATGAAGTTTTTAATGTTGCATAGCACCCAGCTGAACCTAACATTGGTATACAGAAAAATAAAATATATCCAGCTTTGAGGTGCACATACTGTATTTTACTGCCAGTGGGTGAAAATCTTAGCACATTGCATATTGTACTGCACCTCACAAAGAATCTTGGATCAGTAGAGATGCAGCAGATGCGTGTAATCATTAGTTCAGACTCTACAGTGCTAGAGACCTGTTTGGTGGAAGTAGGCCAAGGAATTCAGCTCCTCAGGGGAGAACCAACGCCTCTTCTTCCCCACGGAGAGGATAGTTCTACAGCAGCCCTGTGATGCAGGAGTGCCTTTATTTTTGCTGCATCAGTCTTTTCTCCTCTCCTCCATGTCTGTGTTATTTACGGTCTTCTTTTCATCTCACTCACACTCTACCCCTTCTTCGTGTTCTGTACTTAACATCCTTTCCATTTCTGTCTCATGACTCCTCTCAGTCTGTCTGAGGAGGCAAAGGAGAAACTAAAAACCTGAAGAATTAAAAATAGATTTTCAAAAACAATGAATGCCTCCGTATATCCAAAGCCTGGTGCGTATTACTCGGAGCCATAGAGGTTAGTGTTACCATCACTGTTCAACGTTCGTAGTATTCTGTGCAACTACAAAGTACACAATCTACTTCTTCTATGCAGCAGCACACACACGACCAGTGTACGTGAATAGTCATGTGATATGTGTTTTCTCTGTTGGCACAGAAATGTTGAACAGAATGCATTAGTCACAACAGAAGTAAGAGACTGATGGGTGATAAGGAGTGATACACTACAGTCTTTCACCAGGAGAAACCCCTGACTAGTATGTTTGGTCCACTCTGACTGGCTGCGGTTGTCGCAGATTTGTCTAGATATGTAGCTGCTAGAAATGCAGTCAGAGGAGGCAATGTGTCAATGAAACTCATATTGCGTCTTTAAGGAGTTTACGCATAGCTCCTGTCGATCCAATGCCAATTTGGCTTTATCTGGGGCTTGTAGTGTGAACTAGGCATTACCTAAATGATCTGTTATGTTAAGGTACTGCTAGCTTCATAATATTAGGTGAAAGAGTAAATAAATATGAACATCATTGCTTCTTTGTGACAGTCACACAGAGATAATAATGTGCCTCTTTAACCAATTATTTTCTTAAATTTGTTCTAAAGTTTCCTGAGAAAACTATGTCCGATTTATGACGCTTTCTTAAACTGCAGAATTGTTCACATCTGTGTTCTTATATTAATGAATGCCATGTGTTCGTAAGTTGACAGCGTGGGTCAGTTTTTCCTAAGCGCAGGTAAACGCCCCCCAATGCCCATAAAAGGGCAGAGACTGCAGAGCCTCGTGCACACACAGAAATCACAGAAATCGAAAAAGCCAGCGCAGCACCAGACTCAAACTGTAAAAAATATATTTTGTAGTGTCAGCAGTGGTCATAATATACCACAAAATAGGACACATGGAATGCAGTTACATATTCAGTGAAAGTCAAGATTGAGGGGGAAAGAAAAGGAAGGTGCACAGAGTTGTCTGAGCTGTAGCAGCACGTCACTGTAAACACAGATCTGCAGGTGAACCCTCAGCTCAGCATCTGTGGATGCTAAACCTGAGCCAAGGGACAGGACCCATGGGGTCCAGACATGCCGGGCCAGGTTCTGACAAAATGTTTTGAAAAATATTTGGGTTCAAGTCCTGCTCGGTGCACGGTGCACACACGGGGAACACTGGACACTACCTCTACATCACATAGAGAAGTAGGACAACACTGCCCCTTCATGGCCATGCACAAAAGGGGCAGGGCCAAGGGGATGTTTTCGGGTCAATGCTGGCCTTGTGGTGTTCAGTTGTCTGCTCCTCTCAGTCAACACATTTGGGTTCAATCACTGCTGAAAACCTTTTTTTGTCCACTTACCTTTTCAAGTTTTAGAGTTGAAAAAGACTTACATTTCCTGGTTACTCAACAGATGTGAATTGACTGTTAATCTTTCTTTGTATCTTCAGGGACACCTCAGGACAGGGGAGGTTCTGTACCATTTTCCGCTCTTATTCCCGCGGGGCTCAGGTAAGAGAACACAACTGCACTCTGTTCCACCTGAGCATGTAGTCTACGCTTTACAACACAAGGGTTATTTGCTGACCATATTTATCGAACATCCTTCAGGAAAAGGCTGATCCACTTACCTTTTGTGTGCATCGCTCTGTCTTTAGGGGATCCTGCTGGTGTATGACATCACCAACCGGTGGTCGTTTGATGGCATCGACAGGTGGATCAGAGAGATTGATGAGGTGGGTGGATGGACGCCTTTGGTTAGGGTTGGTGGCGTCTTCAGTGGAGCGGCTCCCACAATCCTTTTTGCTCTCATGTTGCCAGATCTTCATATGAGTCACCAGAACAATGGGGTTAATGCTCCATGCATCCATTGGAAAGGCCATAAATGTCAGGATTTTATGACTTGATATCAAATCATTCAGATCATTAAACCCAGCCCAAAAGGCAGGGTGGGTTTATGGTAGAGACATATATATAAAACTGCATAATATAACAAGTATATAAGTGTTATAATGCATTAATGAGCTGAAAGCATATACTGTAAATACAGATAGAAGATGCATCCTACTTTATCCCGTTGTACTAAAATGAAGCTTAAATATCTCAGATACTTACGCTGCCATCTTGTACCATTGACATCATTTGGAGTCAGTTCAGTAGTCATCATGTTGTGGAGCCGCAGGATCAAGGTTCACCCCATACACATGTTCGACCAAGCACTAGCCAGTCTCAGCTGTCAATAATGACGTCTCAGTTTGTTTTCATATCATCAAATAACTCATTAAAACCAAACCTATCAGAAACACGAACTCTTGAAGATTGATCGTTGTTATAAGCTCTACCTAAAATTACAGAAAGCAGTTTATTACAGCCAGCCACCAGAGTGTGATCTTGTTAGTTTGTCCTTCTTCATTTAAAGTCTGTGTGAGACCATAAGACTCACTTGAGTCCAGCAGTGTTTTGCACCTGAAGTTTAGGCTTGTCCTCTAAAAGGTGATGAATCGAATGGGAATGTATTGTATCAGTAATAAAGTTACATTTGTAAGGAAAAAACATGCACCAATCAAATGAAACAACAGTGGAACCTCCACACAGTTAGGCCATCTAAAGGCTGGAGGTCTGAACTCTGCACTTTGTTTTCGTCTCATTCAGTTGTTGATGAGTTTGGATTTTAAAAGTAGCTCAGCTCAAATGTTTCTGACCACCTTAATAGTAAATACAAATCTTGTATCCTTTCTTTTAAGTAAGATTAGTCAATCATTTTTTAATCCCACCAGAAATCCGAATTTTGTTTGCGTTTTGTGCAAGTTGGTACTTTATTTTATTAAATTTTGAATGTGTTATTTACATTATTCTACTTAATTCTGCAACAATCAGACTGTGTGTGTGTGTGTGTGTGTGTGTGTGTGTGTGTGTGTGTGTGTGTGTGTGTGTGTGTGTGTGTGTGTGTGTGTGTGTGTGTGTGNGTCTGTGTGTGTGTGTGTGAGAGTCTGTGTGTGTGCGCACACAGCATGTCCTTCCTGCTTACTGAGAAACAAAGAGGATATCCACTGTGTGTGTGTGTGTGTGTTGGGGGGGTTATTTTTGTCCTGTGGAATGTATGTTTCAGTTCAGCCTTTCCTGCTCCACTCCTGACCACCTCCACTCTGGGTTATTACTTGCAAATATTTAGATGCTCTAATATTCAATGTATGACTTTGCTGCAGCTCCTCTTTTCAGCCTCTGTCTAAAACACTAGGTTTTAGCTCCTGTTCCTTTAAGGCCCACCTCCTGATAAAGGCCAGTCTGCTCTGATCTGCTCTGAAAGACAAGAGGGACAAGACTGAGGGGGGAGAGACTGACGAGTGGTGACTGTCAGGAGGAGGGAAGCAGGAGAGGTGGCTGGCCTCTCGCTGCCATTATGATTCATTGGGTTTGTCAGAGCAGATGAGAATGAGACCTGAGCTGAAGTGACAGAGGAAAATGCACACTGCTACCTCAAGGTTGTTCAGTTAATAAAAAGCCTCCTGCTGGTCACTTTGTGTGAACATAACATCACTGAACTTGAATTTTAATAATTTCCAAAAAAGTAATACAGTAATTCACTAACAAAATAAAAGAATAGACTGTAATTGTTATATATATATTGGTGACTCTTTTTTTCTTTTTTCCCTCCCAGCATGCACCAGGCGTGCCTCGGATCCTCGTCGGCAACCGGCTACATCTGGCCTTCAAACGGCAAGTTCCCACTGAGCAGGCCAGGGCATATGCCGAGAAGAACGGCATGACGTTCTTCGAGGTGAGCCCTCTGTGCAACTTCAACGTCATCGAGTCCTTCACAGAGCTATCTCGTATCGTCCTGATGAGGCACGGCATGGAGAAGTTCTGGAAGCCCAACAGAGGTGAGACGATGGGGGAGCTGCGGGTGTGGAAGTACATAATGTGAAGATCTGCAGAAGTGTTCAGTTTGATAAATGGGAGCTTAACAACATGAAGAAGGTTAAAAAGCAACTGTATGTTGGATTTATAAAGACCGGTAAACGTGGAGGAAGTGTGTGTAATCTTTCTTTCAAGCAAACAAACGAGCAGGTTGGAAAACAACCTCCTCAGTGGAAGTAATTAAGAGTAATTCCCTATTAAGACTCAGTATTAGGTATGTCGTCGGTGCTTTGGAGTTTTTGTCATTGTCATTTTTAACCCCTCCTCTTTGCACCTCCCTGCAGTCTTCAGCCTCCAGGACCTCTGCTGCCGAGCCATTGTGTCATGCACCCCAGTCCACCTCATCGACAAGCTCCCGCTGCCTGTTGCCATTAAGTCCCACCTCAAATCCTTCTCCATGGCCAACGGCATGAACGCCGTCATGATGCATGGACGCTCTTACTCTCTGGCCAACCCAGCCGGCGGCTCTAAAGGCAACAGCCTGAAGCGCTCCAAGTCCATCCGTCCACCGCAGAGCCCCCCGCAGAACTGCACCCGCAACAACTGTAAAATCTCCTAATTCACAGCTTCACCGAGGGGTCTTTAGAAAAGGCAACGAATGAATGGGATCAGGAGATGGATGTTCAGAGTGATGTAAGTTGGACGGAAAGAGCACAACCCTGAAGATGAAGAGCAGCAATGATGCATAAAGGGATGAATGATCACCACCTCCCACCTTCATGAGTTGGTCCAGGTGGAGAAGCTGGAATGATTCCTCAGGATATCAGAGGAGGACGACTACAAACTGACTGGTCTCTCCTGACCTGATTCTCACTTTATCCAAATCATAAAAAGAGAGAAAAGACTCCAGATCCACTTCCACCTGCTTGAGTGTTAACTACGTGTACAGAAATGCCTCACCTACTCTTGTTTAGTTACTCTACATGATGCACGCCACTCGCCATGTCTCTGTATCACAGACTTCACCTCGATATCAACTCTTTATTCTTGCACATTTATTTCTTGCCTCTGTCTGTCTGCTTATAATTCCACCTTTTTATCTCCCCACCTCCGTTCATTTGCTGTTTTATTGGCCAATAAGCTAACGATCCAGACACTAGTATCCAGTTCTTTATCAGTCCACTACTGATTGAACCATAGACTGTTGAAGTAGAAATGGACGAAGACTCCAGTTCCACAGAGCGAAGCCAATGGTCAAGTGCCTGAAACCTGTATTCTCTCAAATGACCAGAAGAGGGCAACAAAGATGTCAATTTATATATGAGCCTACTTCTCACTTAATGTATTATATCAGTAAAGTAGTAGTGTTGCTCTCGATCTCTAGTTTCAAGTCTTCTTCAGTACAGCATGCTGATCTTTTTTTTGTAAATTATGTTCCCATTTGCACCATATTTCAGGCATGGATACCCCGTGATTGACAGCTAGTACCGTCCAATGGGTGCAAGTCGCAGGTGTTGCTGGGCATGCAGTGTACACAAGCTCACAGTCAGGCTCCACCCCCAACTCCTCTAGATATGGTCACCTCTGCTTCCGAAAAACCGTAATGCCAAACTTCAAAATTTCAGCTCACAAACCAATCACAAAAGTGAAGCCACATCTTGTTGATCGCCCCCTGGTGGCATGCTGCAGCATAGGCCATCCATAAAAAGACGTCATGATTGACATTGGTCGATCCTCTGTATTAGAGGGAACTAGTGGCACCACCCCACGATCATTGACTCTGACTCTAAATGATGTCAAAAGGGCAAGATGGCAGCGTTAGCCTCCAAGATATTTGGCTTCATTTCTGAATAGTGGGAGGAAGTGGAGCGTCGTCCATCTTTATGCACAGTCTATGGTCTGAACACTCACTGTGCTTTGGAGTTTAAAACATTTGTGTGTTCTATAACCAACACTTGCTGAAGTGAAATCTTGGCAACAAGTTGAGTGAGCGTTGAAGTTGAAGCTGAGGTTGTGAAACGCGACAATACCCGAACCAGGTCTCAGGTCCAGATGTGTGCGTGTGACTTGAGTCTCACTTTACTTGCCAGAGCTTTCGAGTCAGTTTTAAACACAACACATGTATTTTTAACGAGTGGAGCAGATTTTGGTTTTAAATATCACTCTGTGGTTTACACAGTCTACTTCCACAGGGGATTCACTGAAGTTTGTTGCTGTGGAAACCACTGCATTTAAAAAAAAAAAAAGTGGCCTATTTAATTTCTTTACATCTTTTATGAATTTCAGTTTTAATTCGATGCCAATTGGAAAAATTCCACAAAGGACAAACAAAACAGAGAAGAGGAAATATTTGTTTTTCTTATTGTTGAAGAATCATGAAAAGACTGAAACCAACGTGTGTGTGTGTGTGTGTTAGTTTGTCTCCCTCCCCCGTCAGCTCAGAGCCCTTTGGTTCGGACTCAAAACTTAAATCTTTAAAACACCTCACAAACATTTTACTAGACTCATGCGTCATCCTTCTATCCCTGTGGAGTTTTTCAGGACTCCTGCTATTTGTGTTTCAAAAAAACATGCACACACACACACACACACATACACAAATACACTCAACCCATCACGATTCTTATAAATGATTGAGTGTGCAGACAGTTATATAATCATTTAAATATTAGAACATAGTGAACGAGAGCTGAAATTCTTATTCAAATAAATTCATGAGCAGTCAGTTTCAAAATAACTGTCAACACGTTAATAATTAATTCATTTTAAGGAAAAATCCAGGACATTGTGATGTGTCTGCTCTTTTTCTCTGTTTTATAGAATTTAAAACTGCATCTTAACAGATTTTTCAGAAACAGCGAACCTACTTTACAGTTAAATCATATAATCATGAAAAGGTAATCAACTGATCTACAGATAAAATAGCTCTATACAGTGTTTCCATCCCCCGATCGTTTCTGCGCACACTCTGGCTCCGAATGACATCACTGGCACAAGATGGCAGCGTTTGTATCCGTGATAGTTTCTGGAGGATGTGGGGACACGTCGTCCATCTTTATTTACAATCAGTGGTTTCAGATTATATCAGCGTGTGGTTGTTTTTTACTTTCCATGATAGTGAACATTAGATCCTCGTCACATGGTGAAATGCTGTTGATAGTCACTGAATCATTATTAGTAAAACATTCTTCAGTTTCAGCTTCTTAACCGAGAGGGTTTTCATCTTTTCTTCACTTTTGTCTTTCATGATCAAACCACCGCATTGTGTTGAAATGAGCTCGAACACGTGAGCTCTTCCGAGTCTTCGGCTTTTGAACCATCACAGTGCTGTGTCTAGATTTCCCATGAGACAGACTGCTGCGCGTCTTTCCCTCTGATCTGCCCCGCTGCCTCCACACGCTGTCCCGTGATTCATAGCTGCTGAATAATAGATGCTTTTTTTTTTTCTTTTTTTTTTACAGATCTCTGTAGGCTTTCATTAGCACCCAACCCCCAACCGCTCTGTCTCTCCTCGCTACTATTTCATCCTCCTCATGGGAAGATGCTCTGCTCACTCCGGTTTCTTCTTGGTTCTTCTCAGCATCCGTTCTCTGTCGTGTTTCTGGATCAGGTTCTCAGTTCTAACCTGTGTTTACTGACACTGCCCCCTACAGGTCAGGGTCAGTGTCTGTTCACTTTCAGTGTGTAGAGTTGGTGGACTCTCCATCTGCTGCTACAGTCCCTGTGTATCTCCTGATTAAAGGATAAAACAGCCAACACACACATTGTGTTGACGGTTTCTTCCTCACCAGCATTTTAAGATTCCGTTAAATGAGCCGAAAAGTAAATTCAACTCGTGCTTGTTGCCAAGATTTCCCACTGATCATTGCTGCTCCTGCTGCCGCCTCACAGAGCATATTAACCATCAATGGGTGTGATGATGATGTTATGTAGTTCATCCAGTTTCTTTGTGTTCTGTGACGACACAACCTTTGCTTCCACGTCTTCTGTTGCTCTCGTGTGAACTTCCTCACTGTTTGTCGATCATACTTTCTCCTGAGCTGAGTTTCCTTCTTTTTGTTTTCTTTTTTCAAATAATGGAAATGTTTGCAGAGGATTATGGGAGATTGATTCAGGACTCCCTCTGGTGGGCATGTTTGTATAAAGGAGCACTGTTTTGATGATGACAAACACCCGTAAAACACTATTCTTGTTTTTGGCTAAAGCTGCTGAGTAATCTGAAGTGTGTGTGTGTGTGTGTGTGTGTGTGTACGCGTGTGTTTGTGTGAGAGAGTGAAAGAGAGACAGTTTCTTCAAACACTAACCTGAACGTTTTCCTTTTTTTAAATTATTGATTGTACAGTTTCAAGGCGATGGTATGAAGAGACTTTTTCACAATAAAACTATTGAATGTTGGAGTCAAAATGTCTGCTGATTATTTGAATCATTTCACAGATTTTTATATTTTTAAGGATCGACGAGCAATAGCAAAACATCCACATAACTAGAAAACAGACAAAAATGAATAAAATACACACTATGTTAACATTTACACAACATACAAGCTTAACATCACTGTCTTAATATCTGCTGCACTATATTATATAAAATATGAATGGACCTCTGTCTGTGATTCTGTTAACAGGACATGGTTAACTGCAGTTTGAAATTTGCCCAAAGGGCTTAATGTGGTGTATTTTGAGAAGACCACACACACACACACACGTTACATCCCTCATTGAGACACAATTAGAGTGTAATACTAAACATGACTCATGCTTGCCCACATTAGAGCTAAAGACTAGTTTGTACAGCTACACTGAAACACTGTGTTTGTGTTGCGGTACTTGGCTTCTTAAAATAACCAATGAGCCAGTAAGTGAAAGTGCCTGATGACAATGTTTTGGACTCTGTGGGGCCGAAAGCACTTGCTGAAACTCGCTGTTACACCACAGTTGTATCAGAGAGAGCAGCATGAGCTTCTGTCTGGCTTGAAGCCGAGTGGTGTCTTACTGATCGTGGGCTGCGGAGACATGGAGGAGGTGGCCATCTGTGACCATGATGCAAACCTCACTGCTTTGATGGACAAGTGCAGAGAAGTGCGGCTCAGCCTGAAGAAGCTGCAGTTCAGGGTCCGAGAGGTTCGTGTTCACGGCCGTGTCCTGTCAGCAGAGGGCCTCAAAGCCGACGCAGACAAGGTCAGAGCGGTCGTAGACACGTCCAACCCCCCCAGATGCAAAAACTCACGCCTCAGAGAACACTAGATGCACCATGCAGACATGAAATGATCTGTAGCCTTCAGCAGGAGCAGTGTGACTGCAGTAAATCAGCTGGAGGATTAACTGAATGTCACCTGCTAGGAGGCTGTAATGCATGGATGACACCCCCATAGACATCAGAGAGTAATGGGCCATCAGACGTGAAATGAGTGAGCAAGATGGCGTGCTCTTCAGGGGCCAGAGGGTCATCGCTCCCAGGACCTTGAGGCCAGAAAATGATATGATGGATTCACCACCGCCGTGTGGGGGGAGAGGATTTCTATAGCAGGTCCGTGATGCACTGTTTTGGTTCAACAGGAAATCATACATACATATAATATGTTCATATGTATAGCGCAGTTGGAAATGAAAAACATGGCTGATGACCGTGCTCTGTAGTTTGCTGGTGAAGGTTTAGCTGGAACAGGAGCTGGGCTCTGAAGTGGGATTGATTTGATGAAGAAGCGGTTCCAGATTCATGGACATAGCCAGCATAGTCCAGCAGGGTCTCCACCTCTGCAGGACACTGAAGCTCAGTTACAGAGACGGTTGGGTTCTTGATCACAGGGCCCTCGTTGTCCCCCTACTGAGCTTGTCTAGATTGTCAACCCTAGGTAAAGTCCTGCTGCTTCCAAACCTGTTTCAAAGTTATCATGGCCACTGTTCTGATGGGAACACTCCAACAAGTCCACAGAAAGGGTTTTGAATGTAATGGCTTTGTTTTTATCCTGACATGCAGAAGTAAAATCTGTTTTACTCAGTTCAGTCCATTAAAGTACAGACTCATCTCGAAGATAATTCAATCAAACTGGGAGCAAAGTGAATACTTTTGTAAGTTAGAGATTTAATTGTTTAAAATGTGAAATATATGTTCTCTTCTACTTGCATCTAGTTACATTTATGGGCTATTTAGTGTAGATTGAAGGGGAAAAAACGCATTTCTTTTTAATGTAAACTATAATGCAACACGATAAAGTAACTGGGTCTGAACACTTTCTGAATCTACAGCAGATAAAGTGAATAAACCAGACATCTGTTTACTGTGAGTTCCTGGGCTTGTTTTTTTGTTGGCAGCGGCCGTGGTTCAGGGGTAGAGCAGGTTGCCCCTAAACAGAGACTCAACGGTTTGATCCCAGTCTTACTCAGTCCGCATGCTGAAGTGTCCCTGG